GTAACTGACTAACTAACTAACTAACTAACTAACTAATTCCAGCTTTCCACTATTTTTTTCTCACATGTTTAACTAAACTGCATTAAAACTTGCATCAGATTTTAAAAGAGTATTTTCTCATGAAATGGGGATAGCCCCAACTGAACATCATCAGAATAGAAAGAAAATGCTACAAACACCTTTTTCCATAACATAATTTTATAATTACCTCACTCCCCAAAAGAAGGTAATGGCCTTGTCTATGGGAACAAAGAGGTTCTAGTACTGTGGCCTATTGAATATTTTCCAGATTGTGGCCTTGGCCACTTAAGTTAAGACAGGACAGCTGCTCTGCTTAGAATCATGAACTTAGTTTGCAAATAACTGTTATCACTTCAGAAAAAAAGTAGTTACAGAAAACAGTGTAAATAATAGTATCTACGTGTAGACATGTAATAGTTGCGAAGACAGAAATTTCCTTTACCATAAAAGATACTTCAGCACTTTCCAAGCCAGTCCACAATGAGCACAGCGTTATTTTTTAAAATCCTATCCCTGTTGTTATTGCACATGACATATTACATTGTACTGTACAGTGTGTGGTGATGAGAAACTCCCTGCTTATTTAATTGTGATCCTTCAATGAATTTGAAAGGGAGCACTTTATTTCCATTTCTTTAATTTACTAGTTCTTTAGCTGATGATTTTATTAACTCTTGTATTTGAGAACTGATGCTTAACAAAAAAAGGGGAAGAAAAAAAGGCCCTTGGCAGTATTGTGAAGGCCCAGAACTGAATAATGCACTTTAATAATGAGGAATAGAGCTATGGCTTTTGCTGATGGCTGTGACCGGCTCTGTGACCTGATTATGTCGCAGAGTGTCAGCAGCTGAGACACTACAAAAGGGAGCGCATCCCATCAAATCTATCTCCATTGTAATCACTCGCACTGCTGAGAGCCTTGTTAGGAGCAGGGAATCCATCAGGCCTCATTAGCACCGTTTACCATCAAGAAGCTCAAAGAGCAAATGTGTACCCTCTCATCAGAATAATGAGAACCAAAGTACTCCTATTATCTAATTGGATCAACAATGCCTCTCTCTCTATTTATTTTCCTGAGCTACTTGTGGACTACAACACTCAAAAATTAGTTATTTTTTTCTTAAGTATGAGGGTGGACATGTGCTTAAGATTTTTCTTATACAGAAGGTTTTCATGTCTAAAGAGCAAGGCACGGGCCCAATGAAGTGTGGGTTACTTCAGGGGCATTCTTAGATTATAATGAAACAATCCCAATTAATTCCCTGTTCAATTAAAGTGTGGACAATACAATTACACCATATATACTTAGATTTTCCTTTTAATCTCCCAAGAAACAGACTATTGCCCTCTTTATCTACAAGGCAGTTCATCATGCCAACTCTCATCATGTTACTCTTTTATGGTAAAATGTTATCTTGCAACTGCTGAATTTAGTGGTATTTTTCTCCTGTTAGACAACTCCCATCTTTTCAAAAGAGAAACTAAATTTACTCAGTACCCACACTTAAAAAGTATTTGATCCTACTGAAGTCAAGAGGCATATATGAATGCAACTGATGATAATTAAGAATTATGAATGCAACTGATGATAATTAAGAATATTCATCAACATTGCTTTCATATTTCTGTGTCTCATTTCCTTACAAATATTATGACAACTGCCAAAGCACACATTTCACATACTTAATAAACATAGCAAAACCAACACAAAAGTCCTGATTTTTTATTTCATTTGCAAAACCAGCATAAAAAAGAGATATATTGGGTTAAACCTCTGAAGAATCCAAGGGCAGCAATGGCACTTGGGTCCTACTGTAAGGCAGGCTGAAGCTGAATAGGTAGACAGTTTCTCTTTGCACACTGTCAGTAGATTTCAATCTGGCAAACCTGCTACCCTGGCCTTTAAATTTAAGATATGAAAACCCAGTGCTGCAAACACTTCCTGGAAAGTGCTGAGGGCAAACAGAATGCAAGCAGTGTTACATGGGCCAATAGCTCTTCATAATATGCCTCTGAAAATGAAAATTTGATTTAGAGTCCTCTACATGTACTATATCAAATTAATCAGGTGATCTAATCATATTGTTTCAATGAATTAGATCTCTTGGTTTGGTCTTGGGAAACTCTGGTGTTACAGTTTATATTGCCATCCGAAGCAAAAGATGAAAAATAAATAAACATGCCATAACTTTGAATTAAATAATTAATTAAATAAAAGTATTTAATATAAATTATTGTTAATATAAATGATTTTTTACTGTAATTGTAAGAACTACTAGACTATTGGGAATTAAGGCTATGCCATATGTCATTTAAAGGATCATTTCCCTTAAATTTGGCATAGGATCTTGGATTTGACCTAGAGCTTAATGTCTCCAGGGATTACTGATCACCATATATTTAGCTAGACAGATGGACATTTACAAGCCCTGAATTTCTGTAACAGAAACAGCGTGTAATTACAAAGATTGCACATATCAACATTCCAGTAACTCATTCAGCTTTTTATTTTCAGAAGTGAGTTTTCGGTATCATGCTTGTGATTCCTTGAAAGGGACAATTTTCAAAGGGCAGAATTCTTAAAGTGTGGTGCAAATCTGGTTCTTTAGTCACTCCAAGCAGATTATTCATCAGATTATTCAGAAATGGAGCGTTTCAAATTACTATTCCTTTATGCCCCCAATTTTGAAGAAACATCTTGTAGCCCTTGGTTAGGTGCTACAATTCTATTAATTTGAAGGGAATATAATTTAATTTCTGGAATGTAGATTATTATACTGAATAGTCCTGTTTTAAGGCAGCCTGAGAAGAGGTCTCTAAGTAATATGAGTTTATGCTGAATATTATAAAACTGCATGCTATATTACACACTTACTATCAATATTTATCTATATTGTGGCAAGGTCTGCAGTACTGATTATAAACTAAGGAACATTTGCAAAAACAAGTAATAAAGAGAAAACCTTTATTTAAAAGACCTAGGCAGATAGCTAGATGCTGTAATTTTATTCTGACAATTGGAAAGATTATTCCTTTCCTTTCTCTTTCTCTGCAACCTGTGGAATTATTGGACTTTACATTATGTCTGGAATAAACAGACTCAGCTTGAGTAAAACTTTCATTCAGTGATATCTTCTTAGTAGTGGGGTTCTTTTAAGGATACAATGAATGGTCACACATAGATTATGTTTTCTGTGGAGAATGTGTAAAGGAAAAGCTATAAAGAAATTAGTCTACATTCATAACTTCAGTGCTTATGATGAACATCTTTGGTATCAAGTGCTTCATATGTAAGTGGTGACTGTGAACCATTTCTGGAGCACAGAGGAGATAGAAACAAGCAGGCTCTATGTTGGAGCTGATCTGACTATGAGTTATAGGTATTATAACCAACTTTTCTCCCAAACCAATACCCCATCCCTCCAGAAATCTTAATAGGCTTTTGAGAGCCTCCATTTAAAGCTGGCTGCATAAAATGATCCTTTGATGAAAAGGGATTGAAACAAGGGTTAAAGTAGACATTGAAAGGTTATTGTAGAGGGCACATTGTTCATACAATCCTCCTTTAATATGTGTGGTGTGCACCTGCGATAAGATGATTCATTAGATAAGGCCTCACTTTGACAAGCTCCATCGTTCAACCCTCGGGGTAGTGATGGAACAATTCTGCACCCACCCAGTAAATATAACAAGGTCAGCATTTTTTTTCCCTGGGACTTGGATGGTGCTAGTGAAGCTCAGGAAGCATCTTTGTTTATGTGTCCTGTTTAACAAAAAACCAGGGGAGGTCCTATAAAGTGTTGAATTTTATTTTTTGATGGGCCAAAATAAAAAACTCACTCTTGTTCCAATTAACTAGCAGAAAATTGACAGGAGAAGAGCTGCCCTTTCTTTTTTATCCTCCTCACCAGTAAACAGTAAGAGTAGAAACTACATATTAGATTCACATATCATCCAAGCTGCATCATTTCAATAAATGTTTTTCAGGGCCTAACATCCACAAAAACACTGTGGGTATCACTGTATGCCCAATTTGTAGAATTTAGAATAATGACATTCAAATTACTCAGTTACCAGTTATATTGACAGATCCATTGCAGAGAAACAAGGCATTGTGTTAATTTTAGTCCTAATAAATACAATAAAGAATGAAAGTGGTCGCAATCTGAAAGCCACTTAAATATGGTGTATCAAAGGAATTATTTTTATATATATGAATTCAGATGCATATGTTTCTCCATCATACTAAGAGTGAAACTGAAATAGTTTTAACAAATAAACAGCTCCATAACATAGGTAATGCACAATCTCTCTCTTAGACACTCTTAAACAATATTCAAGTTCCTGTTTGGAAAATTTTCTTTAAACCAAAATAATCTCCCCTATTTGCATTTACAGGCTGGCATAGTAATTGCAAATTGCTTAACATAGTTAATAAATAAATGAGGAAGCCACTCAGATAACTCCATCCCTGATACTTCATTAAAATTTATTTTCCTTTACTAGAAACATTTAATGCCTTTTAAGAAATGACACCATACAAAAATGCCACAGAAATGCAAAAAAGTGAAGCACTGTACCACGTCAGCAAAGGTGTCTGTTATTAGGCATATGTAAGTGGAAGAAGGCAGATGGTATCTTTGTTAAAAATCACAGGGTTGCTGGTATTTTAATATGGTGAAATACTAGTGCATGGTATTGCACTATGATATTTTTAAAGGGATGATAAATAAAACAAACAAATAAAGGGTTGATAACTAAAACAAACCCTTAGCCTTTTCTAGCTTGAAAACACTCTTAAAGAGTGCCTAACTTCCCCCTATTTCTCAGACTTTCCATTTCTTACCTTGTCTCACAAATCAATATTTATTTATCTTCAACATGTGCACTTTTAAATTGCTGTCATACAGGCGGAACTGATTTTTGTCCCAAGATCAGCCTGCCATCAGAATTCACTGTTTGCTCCATCTTCTACTCACCTGTCCTTGTGCATTAGTGACGAGCTGGCCTGTGACCCCCTGAAGACTGGAGAGGGCGTTTCCAAAGGCCTGGGAGTTTGCTATTGAGCCCATGGCTGCTGCTGCTGCAGCTGCTGCTGCTTGACTTGCTAGTGGATTATTAACCAGCTGAAAAAAAAGAAATAAAACATATGATATTTTATTAAAATATAAAAATATGATAAAACCCATGATAAACATATAATACTAACTGGATAATATAAAAGTGGTATCACAATAACTTTTATGTTATTTTAATGTTTTTTACACACTTAATTGTGTGCAAAAAATGTCTGTTCCAAGAGCTCAAGTTTGAGAGGTTCTTACTTCTGGGGCTTTGAAAATGACTAGTTTTAAAAAAGGAAGAGGAAATTCCATGTTGATGTTGAAGAATAAAATTCCCTTTTTTAACCCTATATTCTCTCTCCTATTTTTTTAAATCAAGTTATGCTTGATGTGTGTCTTTAGGCTCAAGTTGCTAATGCCGCAGGTGTAGCAGCTTAGTACTGCTGTAAAGAGCAACCAGTGAAAGACTAGCACTTGACTGGGAGGGGAATGTTTACTTGGGGATATTCAGAACAGAAACTATTTTACTCATGTCCCTAAACCCAAGAAAAATCAGCAAATCCTTTTAAGTTTTATTATTAAATAATTGGTCTCAATATCTAGATAAATCACATTAGAAGACTCAACCTTGTAAGTGAGGTCAGTAGATATCAACTAAAAATTCAAAATTCATTTGCAAAATACGATATTAGAGCAACATGCTGCTTCTCAAATGTGAATGATTAGTTCCAGGTCTCATACATTTTCAGGAAATAATTTGTAGTGCCTGCTTTAGTCAATTCTACCTGAATGCACCATAGAAAGCATAGAGCATGGTCATGGCTTTCACCTTAAAGACTAGGGGAATCCCATGGAGGAGCAGTCCTATAAATTCCTGTGCTTATCAAGCATACAAAATGTGTGCTCCTCTGTCAGAATCAAAAGTTGTCTTGGACATGGCTTTTCCACTGGTGGAAGTTTCTATTTTCTTATCCTTTCCTGAGAAAGGATAAACATTGAACGAAGCACACAGGAATGACAGTAAAAAAACCAAAAAACATTGGGAGCCATCACTTAGGCAGCTGTCTTGAGAACAATCAAACTGAGTTTAAGAGGCTGAAAATACATTTTAGAATGGCTTTGCCTCCTAAGAATCATTGCATTATAGCAGAACTTGCAAAATATGCATTAGCAGCGTAGAGCAACCAGAAGTCTGAGGGACATAATAGTCTAGGGACATTTTTTCTTAGACTGAGATGAAAATGCTAGAGTAAACTCAGAAAAGCTTTATGTTTGAGCTGAAATTGGTAGGAGTTCTAAGTCCTAAGATGACCAGTAAATTATCTATCTTTTAGAAATGGAGAGTCACAAGCAGTGGTAAGGGATATACTCCATAGACAGGCTCTGCTTCAAAATAGGTTATAAAAAATTAATCAGTGATTAGTAGATGTTTTAAGCATGTTACAGATATGAGTAGTGTGTATGTTATAGACGTTTAGAAGCCCATCAATAGAAGATGTCAGATATGGTTATAATCTATGCTTATAAGAAACCTACTTGTCTGTTGCACATTGCAAAATCTACAATTGATTGCTCATACATTAAAACATCTATTAATCATTCATTAGCCTCTCATGAAGTATTTATAAATGCAACCTTGATATAAAGTGTTGCTTAAAGGGGTGCCTTGGGCATATCCAATCCCTCTAGAAATTGTAAAGTAAATAACTAAATAAAGATTAGTAGCAATGCCAGACAGAAAAGATGACATTGTTTGGAGGAAATATTTAGATTTGGAAAAAATTGTTATATGAATCTCTAAAAGCATTTCACAGCACCCCATGGCATGAAAATCAAGCAGGGATAAAGCACAAAAGGGGAAAACTGCAATGCGTGCTTGATTAGCAGTCCTGATGAGCTGAGCTGTGAAGAGAACTGGAACCAGTACAATGACCAAAGTGAAGCTCAGTCCCTGAATACAGACTGCAAGAAATTCCACTGACTGCACAAAGGTGTGAGTGCAAAGGTAGCTGATGCAGTCTTCAGTCATTTGGGTGGTGGTCCCTGAGCATGGCAGTGTAATGTCAGAGAACAATATAAGTAAACTGGTTGGTTCTCTGCTCAAAACAGTGCCATTTCTTTATTGTCCAAATCAGAAGTTAGCAAACTCTGCCTTTTTTTCACAGCACTGCGTTGGCAGTACTGGGACTTGAAGACATTCTCTTATAGCTGTAAATACTTGGAGAAGAAAAGGGCAGCAGCAAGACCATAAGACTTTCAGAAAAGGCCTTCTACAATCTTATTAGCAACGCACAAATTACTGAACCTCTGATCCTGGAGCATCTGACTGCAGGTATACATGATAACTTTTGACAGTTACTCAAAATCAGCTAATAAACTACATTAGCTGTTATATTCAGGGCTTCAGAGGCATGTAAGAACAGCTGCTTGGGAAGCATAAATAAGCTTTGTGAATCTGGAAACTACAAAGGGTTAAAACCTTCTAAAAATCAGACTATCACCTTCTAGAATCTCTTTTCCATTTTTCTTGCACCAGTTTTCAAAAAATGTACATTTTCAAATACAACAATAAAATTTAATTACAACAAACCCTGGAGACACTCAGGATTGCTTTTAGTTGCATCACAGAGATAAGGTACTTATTAAAAATGATGGCAGAGGCTGTGATATGCATAGGTACCCTGAATAGTACCATGCTCCAGGAAAAAAATACAGGGAACGGGCCAAATCGCAGGGTAAGAGACTTCAAAGTGCATATGAAACCAGCCCTATCTATTCATAAGTCTGATTAAAAAGGAGGGGATGCATTTTTCTTTGAGTGCGTTGGGAAGCTGTTGACTTCAAGTTATGTTCTATTCAATTGACCCCTTTTATCTTGTGTGCAAACTGGGGATGAAGAAATACATCCTATTTCATTATGTCTGGACACCAAGATAACACATTGAATCTTTCTTTTATTCAAAAAATAAGATCTCTAACTTGAGAGGTTTATGCAATTTCTCAGTGAAGGCTGGATCCCTAAGAATGCATATTGGAAATATTGGAAATATATTGTGAAAAATCTCACAAAGGGCTCTTCCTATTTTGTTTCTGTATTTAAATAATGATTTAATTTGGAAGGCTGAGATATTTGGAGCTGTTGATTCCAGTGCCCAAATCTCTTCTCCAACTCAAACCACCAGCCATAACAGTAGATAATAGTAATCTTTGTTTAAAGTGACAGGCCAGCCCTCTTAATGACACTTCTGCTACAAACATGATTATATGAAGAAGCAAATTTTATAAGGAAGAATCTTCAATAATTGAGTCGATTTAGTACATTTTTCTGAATTTCCAAAGCTGAATTATTAAAGGTAAAGCACATGAAAATTCTCTACTTTAAGTCAGTAAATACAGAAGACATTCCAATGTGGCAAACAGAATTCACACAAATAAAACAAATCTGAAAAATTCTGGTGAATGAAAGAGGCACTAACAAGATCCTAAAACTGTGCCATGCAAAGTGAGTGTTTCTATGGTTAACACATAGTCTTCAAAAAAAACAATTTGAAGAAAAGTATGTTAGAGTCAATGCTGCAAGCAGTTTTCTTGAAAGCCACAAATACTTTTTTCTTTTGAAGTAATACCATCTTCCTCTTTTAACTTAGTATTTCATTGGAGTTGCTGTGAGAAACTGACCAAGCATTCATCTACTGTTGAATACAAGATCAGATTTGATAACCTACACAGTAGTTAGGCACTTTCCTTTATAAAAGGCATGTCCCACTGAACTTTCAGTCTCCTGGTCTGGGAATCAAAGAGCCAGTTTTAGTCATTACAATATAATTCAGTCAACAAATATAAAGAAAAAAGCAAACAGTTTTACTAGTGAAAAGTCAAGACATTTCAGGATGCCAGAGCACCACATGAAAAAATGGGCAAGTAACCTGAAAGGTAAAGTCATTTTATGCCATGCCAGTATATAGATCTTGTGTGTTTTCTAAAGCACTTGTGTAGGAGGCTGCTATCTGAATGCAGCAATGGAGAATTTGAAGGACATATTGCAGAGTAACTTCAGGCATAACTTCATTTTATAAAATAGTATTAGTGTTTTTCAGAAAGACTGTTAAAAATCACATTTCTGGATATCTCCTAGAGATGGAATTAGTGTAAAAAAGTATAATATTTGATTAGGGACCAACAGATCCTCAGTCTCTTATGTTCTCTGACAAACTCTTCTGTAGGGAGCATCACACTACTAGATTAGCTGCTGAGATTATTTGCTTAAACCAATGCTTTTCAAGGGAAAACAAATATAACAGTTGAGAAGAATTCAGCAATGGCTCAGTCAGAAACACATGACATTTTTCTTTTCTACCCATAATGAGTGAAAATTTTATTCACAGAAATGAATTTTTTTTATCAGCATAGCATGTGCTTTTGTAGGAATTTTTAGACAAGAATCTATCTGAATTTTATTGTGTTTAGCTGATGAAAGAATTACAGGTTAAAATATAGTAGGATTTATTCCCATTTTTTCCTCGGTGGCTCATGAGACAAATCCAAGGCAGTAGCACTGGACCTTAAGGGAAAAGACTAGGGAAAAGACTGTTTCATATTGAGCACAGGCTCCTGAGGATATTCTGATACCTTCTTTGTTACAGTGACTAGCATTATCATCTGTACTGGGTGTAGATGGAAAGGTTTTGGTAGTGGATCAGCTGCAGAGGAGGAGGATAAAAAAAACCAGAGTGAACAAAACAAAGGGAACAGCAAGGTCAGAGAAAGGAGAAAGAGCTGTCCCACAGCAGTGAAAGAGTCCCCACTGTAGCCCTTGGAGGACCCTGGAGTAGGCATATGGATATTTCCTGGTGAGAATGGTGATCCCTGGGGCACCTGTGAAGGAGCAGGGGGAAAATGTGAAGAGAAAGGAGCAAAAGAGGGGAACTATTAAGGACTGACTATAGCTCCCCATTGAGAGTGGGTAGAAAAGTCAGGAGTGAAAGAGTGAAGTCCGGGAGAGTGGGGAGAAAAGTTGTTTTAATACTTGTCTTTGTTCCTCATTTAATTGGCACTATATTAAA